GCAGCCGGCCCAATGTCGTAGCTTACAGCTTGCAGCCTATGCATGTTCGTTGCTGTGTTTGCTGTGCGCAGCTGGTGCAGTGGAAGTTGCCGTCGTTACGATGTATGGGCAGTGAGCAGCTATCGCTGTTTGCATGTCGGAGTGCCTTCAACTCTGTGACAATCAGTATGCGCATGCTGCGCCGTTGTCGGGAATCGGGCCAACTGCTGTTGCTATATAGACACTGCAGCAGGGCCCTCGCGAGCATCATATTGCATAAGTTGTACCAGCCAGAGTGGGTGGCCTCTTCAGCAACAAGTGCGGCCCTCACAGACCACAAAAAGACGCAACAGAAAGCCTGGGCGCAGGCTCTCGCTGCAGGTGTCTGTTCACTGGATCCTCAGCAGCAGCAGCAACAGCAGAAAATACCCAGAAGTCACAGCACATGCCTACTTGGCACTGGCGCCGCCTGCATAATGGACATGAGTAAGACCCCTTGGCACCCTTCGGGGCATTACGCAACCCATATACCTCAGGCTACATAGATTTGAGTAAATGCTGCAAAACTTTAAGTCAAGGCTTTACGATTTAGGGTTTATTTACAGGGGAGGGAGACATGTACGAGCGCTACGAGACCACTTACTTCTGTAAATTATGGCGGAGTGTTGAGGCCTCCAATTTAATTGCCCTGGACTTTAATGGCGACTTTGTGCTGTACGTACACCGCAGCCGGGTCCCCGCGTGCTGCTGTTGCTGTATGTCTCATCTTTCTGGCGCAGTATGCTCGTCTTTCGTTTGTTTAGACAAAGTGGGTGCAGGGCTGCCCGCAGGCTGCAAAGTGTGCAGGCATCTGATGCTTGCCTCGAACGAATTCGGATTCAGACGGCGCGGCTGGCCTAGATGAGTTGACTGTGTGGATGAGTTGCTGCTGCTGTTGCTCTTGCTGCGGCTGATGCAGTTGCTGCAGCAGTGAAGCTGCTGGGGAACCTCGTTGGCTATCTGTGGTGGACGCTCGAGGAGCTTCGAGGCTTGTCGAGGAGAGCCAGGGGTAATCAAAAACCGTTAGCGGCCGACTGTGGCTGCCTAGATCCTAGATTGCCACTAATTCACTCGCTTGGCGGACGCAGCAACGTACGGATTTCGAGCGTGGTAAAAGCAGTTGTGTTTGCTATTCTTCTGACTTGCTGCTTCTGTTGCTGCTGCTTCAGTTGGTGCGCTGCTCGCCGGAGTTACATGGATGAGTATTTGGTGCACCAGCAGATGGCGCCACGCCGCATGCACCACGCTTGTTTTTTGTCATACTTCTTTTTACTTGTTTCTGATGACAAATCAATTTCCGTTTTCGACCTCCGTCTCTCCTTCTTCGACTACTACGCCTCCAGGGCCCGAGCCCTAGGCTTGGGGAGCAGTTGTACAACAGCTGCAACGGCAACGCCTGCACCAGACGCAGCAGCAGTAGCTTTTGCCTGCTGCGCAGGCACTTGCATGAACTACAAAGGCACAGACCAGCAGCAGCAGCAACAGCAACAGCAGCCGTCCGCAGCTGCATCCTGCTCGGGCTCCGGCTCCCGTCTTCTGAGGAGGCAAGCTGGTCCTTCTGCGTCGGCTGATGGGGGTTGCTCACAGCTTCGTGATAGTTGCGACACATCCAAATCACCAGTAGCAGCAGGATCAGCGGCAACATCAAAGGCAAATTCTCCACTGCAAGCTCTGCCTGCTCTTTTTTTACGCTGTTTACAAAAAGCTGATTTAACGAATCAAAATTATAACGCCAACATGAAAGGCGGGAACAAAAGCCTCATTCAACGAATAATCAGGAGCGTCTCAGGAGGGACTAGTAACAGGAACCAAGAAACGGCGGCGGTTGCTGCTGCTGCCTCAGCGGACTCCGCCGTGGTTTCAGCAACTGCAACAGCGGCAGCAGCAAGGGCGACGAAGCGAACAGGGCCGGCCGGATCCAACGGCTCTGCTGCTGCTGAGGACGAGCCGCTGAATGCCTTAAGGGGGAACTGTGTTCTTGGCCGCAGCGGCAGTAGCTTGGAACAGAAGCAGCAGGATGAGGCAGACGACCAGCAGCAGAACCAAAATGGCGAAGGCATGCATCAGCACCAAGGTGACGGCTTTCCAGAAAGGGACACCTGCTACGCTTTCTTTCTTCTTGAGAGAAGTCCCCTGGCATTTCGGCTAGCTGAGGCTTTTTTTCGCTTCTGTTCGTTGCTGCTGCAGCAGCAGCGGCAGGTGCTGCAGCATTCTCACCTCTGCGCTGACGATGCCACCAATGACAGGAACATCAAACCACCAGAGCCACGCCTTAGGAAATCTTTCGTCAGTCATTGGGTATCAGGGCTTAGGTCTTTCAGCATGATGCTACGCTTGTCAAGGGTTAAACGCCGGCTGTGAACAGTCTAAAGAGCTTCGTTTTAGGGGCTGTCAGGGGTGCCAAGTTTGAAACTATCAGAAGCCGCTCACTCGCCCTATGGTTTAATGCTTAGACTTTGGGTTCTAAGCTCTACGGATTGCGAATTGTGTGCATTCAGATCCGTTACCGTCAGCGGTCTCGCATCTTGGCCCTAAATTGCAGCCGTCTAGACTTTTGCTTTTTGTGCATCGACTGCGCGGGGTGGTTGAGAGTCTATTCTCTCTTCAGATCTAAACCCTTGCAAACCCTTCGAATAGGGAAGGCACAGTTCGCAGCGGGTGTGTAGGCTAAATGGCTCAAATTTCTGGGTTTACGGTCAAGTACGTGGGCATGTAGCGGTTTGGGAGATTTTGAGTAGTTGGGCGGCACACGCTGGCCTTTGCCCAAGGCTTCCCAGGATGTATGGCCTAGGGTTTGGCGTTGGTCCAATTTGTGCTTAGAGGTGGATTTTCTGTCTCCTGTGGCTTCAGGCTGGCCTTACGCTCTCGCGTCCGATGGCTCCCTTGTTGGATACACCAGCGATGACGTAGGTTGTTTCCCCTTTCCCGTTTCTGCTGCCGGTGTTAATATTGCTGATATTGTTCGTATTGCTTCTGCCGTTGCGGTGTCTGCTACACTTAAGTGTGTGTGCACTCCACGCGTATGGAATCGCGCATTACTCCACAAAACCTGCAGACCCAAGACCCGTATTCTGGTGCTTGTATTGTACAGGGGGTATATGGCCTGTTGCTCAGAGAGGCTCATTTGGGCTGTTGCTGGGTGTCGGGCACGGAGACTTTTTGTGCACTGCCGACAGAGGTAGCAGAGGAACAAGTGCCCAAAACAATTTAATCTGCTCCGTATGATTACTTTCGTCCAGTTTAAATGACTCAGCCTACACCAACATAGTCCACGTGCGACCATTCAGACCAAAATATCAAAGTCTCGAGATCCGCCGCTAAGCCACAGCGGCAGCAGCAACCGCACTAGCAGCAAAAGCACCAGCACCTAGAGCGGAAGCAGTAGCAAGCACAGCGATAGGGAACAGCAAATCGCTGGAGGGTGCGAGGGCTGTTTGCGCTCCGAAATTGCATGGAACCACATGCAAGCGGTTTATTCCAGATGATGAGCTCACGAACCGCAGAGCATGTTCCTTTTTTGGTTTGGAAAAGGAAGTGGTAGTCAGACGTAAGAAAGGCACTGAATGGAGCTGCCTCTACACTGACTGTAAACGGCAAGGCGTGCAGACACTAGTCCCCAGCCCTCGGTGTAGTTCCCGCTTCCCTCATGAGGTTTATTTGCAGCTTCGCTTCTCTGCCTTTCACTTGGCCCCTAAAATATATATTGGGGAGCACAGAGTTCTTGCGAAAGAGTGCAGAGACAGTGCGAGTTTGGGGGAAGGTAGCTTAACTAGAATGCCCGTGAGTGGTTTCTCCGATTTCGTGTCTTCGTACGGTGAAGCACAGCGAAAGGTGTCGCAAGCAGCCAGGATTTTTGGCCCACGTTAGTGGGAAAGTGACTCAGAGCAGCAGAAAACAGGGAGAAGGAGCAGGAGAAACAGGGGGAGGACAGGAAGACCGCTGCTCACACGTTCCGCAGACAGTGAAGGTCTTGAGCTTTATATTACGGATATAAACCAATACAGGCCTCGCTCATGGACGCTGAATTTAAACCGAGGGTTAGGAAATCCTATTCCCTCCACCTTAGCTACACGCAGGAACCGAAACCCGCGATCCATAGACCAAGACGTACGCACAGATCATGAATCCGAGCCTACGCCCAAGCCATGATACTAACTATCTCATGTGTTAACCCTGAATCATGAATAGCCTCATTAAATCCAGAACAGGCAAAGTCGATATGCCCCAAAACTGCAAGATGGCGGAGAACTAAAGCCCAGCTGCGCATTCCAAATCGCTTGCATGGAGGACATGGGCTCGCCTGAATAATCGGTTCCAACAAATTCGCAAGCAAACTTGACTGATTTCATTCAAGAGATCATGTGTTCTCTCCGCCTCTACCACTGAGCTGTTACCCTGTAGGCACCGCGCATTTACCAGCGATGCGCCTTCAAGCCCTCCACGAAGAACCCTAGACCCTGAGACTTGAGTTGTATACTCTAAACCTGAGGCTTTATATTATTTCAAGGATTGATTCAACAATTAACTCAAATATGGGAAGTGATTGGCCGTCCGCTGGCATTTGAGGGGTTCCAGGGAGCCCTTGGGGCCCCCAGCGTCGTCCGCAGCAACAGCAGCTGCAGCAGCCGCCAGAGTAGCAGTAATTCCATCCGCGATTTTTTAGCTCCAGGTGTTGCACCAGCATCCTCGTACCATCTGTTCAGCGTGCAAGGGGGGACGTGAAGAAAACCCTGGCAATCCAAAAGCGGCTCTTATGGTTCCAGGTTCAAGATTAAGGAGTTTAGACTTCGGGCTTCGCCTTCACGAGCGGCACTTTATCTTCTAGGGCTGCTGAGCTTTCGTGTCATGCAATTTTCAAGGCGGCTTTCCCCAATGCAAGACCAGAGCCCAGCACGGAAACAGCTCCAGCAGCAGCAGCAGCATGAGCAGCTACAGCATGAGCGCGTGCGCAGCTAGCATTCGAGGCAGCAGCGGAGTGGCCAATGCTCACCCAGCCCCTCAGGGCCAGTCGGATGGGCGCCCCGAAGACCCCCGCTGCTGACTCATGCAGCAGGAGCAGCAGCACCAGCGGCGGCGGCAGGAGGGGTATTGGTCCAAACGGCAGTGAAACCCGTTATTTGTTGGAATACCTATATCCAGAGGAATGCCCAGAAGCCGCAGCAGTAGCTGCTGCTGCGGCCGCAACAGAAGCCGCAAAACGAGGCGGCTTCACCAAGACGGAACCCTCGCCCAATATCTGTCGTGTGAGGACGCTTAATCAGGCGTCAATTTGGAGCACCAGCAGTACCAGATACAGCAGCGTGGAAGCGGCTAAGTCAACAACAGAGGCGAGCAACAATGCAGGTTCTTCACAGCACGTAGGGGAAGTAGCAGCAAGCGGTGAAGGCGCCAGTAACAGCAGCAGCAAAGACGGTATCCAGCCAGCAGCAGTTCTCAGAAGGCACCAGAAGCAGCAAAAGCAGATGCTGCTCTTCAGAGGGGGACGCTGCAACTGGATAGATGAAACGCCTGCAAAATTCTTCCTGTCTTTTCCCCCAGACTCTCAACTCAGTGTCCAGCTACCTCATGGTAGGAAGCGGAAATCCTAATTGCCAATGCCCTGAACCCTAGCCTATGAACGGCAATAAAGCTCGGAATCTAATTCAGCGAAGTTTTATCGTGACTTTTTTTCCTGAGTCTCATTGACTTAGTGCCTTAGTGCCATTATGTGTCCCAGTGGCAGCCAGCCTGAAGCAACAGCGATTTCGGGTTCAGGGATTACGGCTGACTCTTCACTGTCAACCACTTTAGGCCTAGTGTATATTGCTTGTATATTGCTTGGGGTTTGCTTGCTTGCTGTGACGCAGATTGCTTGTCCGTTGTTGGATCTGTCTTGCCTTTGCTTTTTCCGTCCGTGAGCAGTCTTACAATGTCAGGCAATTCAGCAGCAGCAGCAGCCGCAGCAGCAACGAAGGCAACGTCTGGGCCGCAGCAGCGGCTGCCGCAACAGCAGCAGGTTCCCATTCGCCTCTTGCAGAGCAACATCCGCGTGCTTCCAGGGGACGGCTCATTGAGCAACAGCACTAACTGCGGTGATACCTTGTGGATATCGGAGTGCAGCTGGTTGTTCCAGCAGCAACCCAGCAGCAGCGGGAGCAGGGAGAGCGACAACAGTTCTATTCCTTTCTGGCAGTTGGTGAGAGGGTCAGTAATACAGCACCAGCATCAGCAGCTTCCCCCAGAAGTTGTTGACACCATGCGCCTGCTGCTGCTACTGCCCCCCCATATGCAGCGGCAAATTCCCAGGCTACTGCTACAGCTAGCTGTCTGCCTTCGGGCGCTGCTGCAGCAGTCATCGGCTGTCGAAGCTGAGCTGCTGCTGCGGCAGCAACAGCACTCCAAACAGCAGCAGCAGCCCAGCAGAAGCACCAGCAGCAGCAACAGCAAGTGGCTTTGTGCCGCCATGCTGATGAACCGTGAAGATCTCTTTCCTCACAACCCATGGAAGCGACAGCAGCCGCAACAGGGGTTTACATTGGGTTCATTAGGCATGCAGTTTTGTTGCTGCTTGCTGCCAGGGGGCACCAAGCGAGGCAAGGGTTGCGGCAGCAGCAGCTGCTGTTGCTCCTTCTGTTACCTTGACAACTGTCCAGTAGGCTATGAAGCCGAAAGTGACACACAGGAGACACCTTGCATAAGCACTGCAACTGCCGCTGCTATTGCTGTGCAAGGCAAATCGCCTGAAGTGAACGACAACACTGTGTCGGCCGCAGCGGCTGCAAAGGAAGCTGCTGCTGCTGCAAAAGCACGCGAGAGTATGTCGGGCACAAGCGAAAGGGCTACAGACGAAGCGAGTATCATGAACGTGGAGGAACAAGGGGACGCTGTGGCGTCAACAGGGCAACCACCAGCAGTAAATGCATCTGTACTGCAGAGTGCTGAGGCTGGCGACAACGAGGATGACTGGGAATTAGACAATGCGCTTGAAGATGCTCTCAACAGTGTTGCTGCGGATGCTGCAGCGGCAGATGCAGCAGAAGCAGATGCAGGAGCAGAAACAGCAGCAAATGATGTGGACGACGTTGCGTTCTTTGCATTGCCAGACAGCCCTGAGCCCCCCGCACCTGCAGCAGCCCCCGCAGCAGCAACACCAGTAACACCAGCAACAGCGACTGAAGCAGATTCTGCACAAAAAGAAGCCTATGGCCACACAAAACGCCGCTCTGCAGGGCAGCTGCAGCAGCAGGGTCAGCCCTCTGTGCAACATGCTGCTGGAGATCTGGACCAGGAGTTTGAATTCGATGATGCGGATGTAGATGATCCCCACGCTTCTGGCGCTGCTGCTGGGCGCCATCCAGAGCAGCAGCCGCAGCAACATCTTCAGAGCATGCGGTCGCATCTGGGGACATCTGGTGAAGGACCAGCCGCAGCACGAGAGGCCATGCAGGCAGCAGCATCGGGTGGTACGACGGTTTCCAGAGCCTCATCAGGGGTCGCCGCAGCAGATGAAGGAACAGAAGCAGGAACTGCAGTAGCAGCAGCAGCTAATGCAGAAAGTGCATTTGTGCAGAGCGTCCTGTGGGGCGAGCTGCCGGGCAGCAGCAGCTTCATGTTTGCCCAAAGCTTTGCTGCGCTGGCGTGGAGAGAGAGTGATACGGCAACAACTTCAATGATACCAGGTTTATTGGCTGGTGATGGAGAGGCAGGCCAGCAGGGAAAAGCGCATGAACAAGAGAGGCGCCGAGAAAGAGCAGCAGCAGCAGCTGTTGCTGCTGCTGCCGTGCATGCAGCAGAAGAAGCAGCAGCAAGCAGAAGAGATTTGTTGACTGAGCTTGAGAGAAGCACCAGTGTTGCCGTTCAGTGCGCCTACCTCATGCCTTAAACGTACTATACGACGTTGCCTGTTCCAACCGTGTTCTCTTGCGAATGTTTGCTGTAGCAGCGCTGCTGCTGCTAAGATTGGCGTTAAGTTAGCTGTTGCTGCTGTACCTGATTGCGTTGTTGAGCGGCAGCTCCTCTGGCAGCGTTTGCTGCTGGTGCTTATTTTTCCCCAGATGATACCAATATATAATTTTGCCTCACCTTTTTGCGGTTTGTGTGTTGTACTCCAGCCACAGGACAGGGCTGCAGCACATGCCCCAACACCAACAGCAACAGCAGCAGATTTCGCTTCAGTTTGGGGAGACGCAGGCGCTGCTACATAGACAGCAAAGCGTACGCTTTTTGTTGTTGCTGCTTGCCACTCCCCCAGTTTCCCGTATTGGCGCGGCTGCCCCCCCCCTCAGTTTTTATGCAGGAAGAGCACAACAACAGCAGGAGCCGCAGAGCCAGCTGCAACAGCTGCAGGTGGCTGATGTGGCGCACTGGCGAGGGCGAAGCTCCGCACTGCAGGATGAAAAAAGTAGCGACAGAACGAAAGAGCACGCCATTTTCGACAGCAGCAGCAGTATTGCTGCAATTAGAAGCGACAGTAACAGCAGCAGGTTGGTATTCCAGTGGGGAAGTGTTTGGGCAGCGAGGCGACAGCAGCAGCGGCTGCTACAGCGGCGACAGCGTCTACTGAGCTGTTTCTTTTTGGACCTTAATGACAGCTCTGCGGCAATGGCTGCATCCATGGAGGTATGTTGGGGTGGTGTTGAGGTTTCAGGGCTTAGGGCGTATATTTATTTTTGATCATTGGCTTTTTAGCTACATTTTGGGTAGACAGCACTTTGAGCGGCATTGTAGAGTGGAAGCATGTATCTTTTCGTCCGCTAGCGTTGCTATTGCCGCTTCTGCTGCTGTTATTGCAGTTGGGTGCGGAGGAGGGCGAGGAGCTGGCTGGCACTCCCCTGGGCGCTGCAGGAGGCGGAGCAGGCGTGTCGAAAGGTGTTGGGGCCTCTTCTGGTTTAGGCAGCGATACAGCAGCTGGAGTTGCTACGGTAGCAGTAGCCGAATCAGGAGGAGCAGCTGCAGGTCCTAGTCGGGCGCAACTACAAAAGATGAGAAGGCGCGCTAAACAAGAAGTACTGAAAATTGACAAACAGAGACGAATTGAACTTGTCAAGCAGGGGAAAAGTGCTTATGAGCTTAGGGCGCTCGCTGCTGCTGAAGTAAGCTGCTATTGCTTCTGCAGCTGCCAACACTGTTGCCGGTGTACCTGTTCACACCGGTACTGTTATTGCCCCTGCCACAACTGCTAGAGCAACTATTCGTGCATCTGCTGCTTTTGTTGCTGCATCTAGTGGTGTAGGTGCTGCAGTTCGCATATTAATGCTGCGATTACTACACGGATTATGCTCGCTTGGCTGTTCCTCCTGTCATTTTTTGCTCCTCCTGTTGTTTGGGGCATGGCTGCACAACTCAAAACCTGCATCAAGTGCAGCGCCAGAAGCAGAAGCAACACGAAGTGAATGAACGTGAAGTAGACGTCACAGTTCTGTATATCGTGGTATAGACAGAGTGCACAGCGTGCATTATTGAACGATGAGTCAACGGTTTACTTATTAGTTAATCAGGATGGGATTGGTGAATGGAAGACTTAGTGACAATAGTTCAGTAAACACTAATTAATTATCAAATCAATATATGACAAGCTTAGCTACATTGTCTGTTTTTTACTGCAGGAATTGAGTCGTGAATATCGCATGAGGACTCCTTTACAAGAATTTTTGTTGACAGCAGCAGAGTTCGGTGGAGGCCGCCACGCAGAGCTGCTGCAGCAGCTCAATGTCTCTTTCGATCTGGATTTTGAAAAGAGACAAATTCACCAAAGGGAGCAGGGACAAACAGCGAGGGGTGCGGAGCCACATGGCAGCTGCTGCTGCTGCTTGATTCCGTCCTCGGTGGTTTTTTCGTTGTTCCTGCTGCTGCGGGTGCTGCTCCTGTATACTCTTTTTTGTGGTGTTATGTGCGCTAGGTTACTCTCCGCACTGCACTTTGCAAGAGGCAGTCTCCTTAGCTGCCCCTCATTCGTGCAACTGCTGTTGCTGCAGGAGGTGCTCCGTTGCTGCACGTGAAGGCTGCGCTGCAACTGTATGGGGCGTCACCTGTGGCGGGCAGGCGGGCGCGAGTGGCGATGCTGCGCTTCCACCGCCCAGATCTGCGGTCAAGTTTTGCAAGTGCAAGTAATAGGAAGAGAGGAGCAGCTGCAGCAGAGAGGCCTTGGGTTGTACTGTGAGCTATCTACCTAGTCACGGAAGTCCCGGTAGTGCCGATGGTGGTGGCGGTTGTGGTGTGGGTGATGACGTTTTTCGCTTTTTCATTTTCCTGTCTGTTCACTTGCTTCCCACGGGGCCTGCTCTGTCTTTGCCTCGTATTTCGGCCATCAGGCACATCTGTCTGCACTAATTTTTCTCGTTACTGTTGATGCTGATGTTGTTTGTCTTTCCTCACACGATTTTCGCTTCATTTTTAACAAATGTAAATGCTTAATTATTAAGTGTACAGCATGCTAGGAAGACAAAAATGGAAAGCACATGAACTTCAGCGCCACCGTAGTCGATGCTATCCAATAGAGTAAGAACGGAAAAATTAAGCTGCTGGGTTATTCATCATCACTTATGGTGAAAATTCAGGCCGCCTTTAAGCAGTGAAGTGCTGCGTCGCTCCCCAGAAGGCTCCACCTATATTTCTGCGGAGGACTACGAGGGGGCACCGAGCAGCAGTGGTGGAGGACATCCTGGAGGCGGCGGCGGCGGAGGCCCCCACCCCTCTTTCTGTTTTTATGCTCCCAAAGATTTAAGCCTAAGTGACGACTGTCCCTTTGTGCTGCTGGAGCACACAGAGCAGCAGCCGGTAATTATCAACAACCCAGGCATGGCTCTTCGAATCACACGCTATGTTAGGCCGCTCCAGCAGCAACACCAGCAGCAGACTGCAGCCAGCAGTGCGAATCCCAGCAACCAACAAGACAGGATTAGAGCAGAGGAAGAGCGGTTGCAGGTAAAGCATGCTGCTGCTGCTGCTAATGGCAGTGTTGCTGCCGTTGGTGCTGTTGCCGTTGTTTTGGAAAGCTGGGAAGGGCATGCGCCTTTTTGTTGTTGCTTCGGTGGCTGCTGTTCCGACAGATCCGAGTTTGCTGTTGGCGTTGATTCTGCACTAGACACATTGTGTGTTTGGAGCTCACAGCTTCTAGGTAATTACTTGGTCTCACGATTGTTGCAGTGCCTGCTCCTGCTCTTTCGGTAGGGCTCCATGGGTACTTTTGGAGGTTTACGTCTGGTGGAGCAAAACGAAAAGGCGCCCAGTTTGTTTGGGATAGACGTGCCCCTTGAACCCGGTAGGTAGCAGCTGCTAGAGCTGCTACTGCTAGCACGGTTGCTGTTGCTTCTGCTACTGTGGCGTGTTTCCGTTGCTTTGTCAGCCAGGCATCCCTAGCTTCTCTAGCACTTCATTTCTGTGCTTGCTGTGGCGGCCGTTCTGTCACTGTTCTCCCGCAGTTTCTCCTCATGGCCCCTCTGGCAGCCAAAACGACCGTTAGCGGTGGTGCTGTTATCGCTGCTACTTGTGTTGCTGCTGTGCGGTACGTGTCCTGCACAGGTGAAGGCCAAGCCGTAGTTGACTGCCCACTGTTCAGTGCCCTTGTCTTCCCTCACCCTCAACACCCCCAGCAGCCTCTGGGCCCTGAGGGTCGCTTCAACGACCCTCGCCGAGGAGACTTCCTGTTAATTCGCAGGAAAGTTAAGGAGGGATGGAAAGTAAGCTCAGGTGTACAGACACTCCAATCAACAACACGTGCAACGACACGACAAGGCTCACAGAAGCATACTGAAGTAAAAGGGCAAGCACGCAGATGGCAGGGCTACGGGGAGGTGGCGCGAATGCCTACACCAGCAGCACCAGCAGCTTCTGTTGCAAAATACTTTCCGGTTGCCGGGACTTCATCCTTTGTAGCTGTCTTCCAGTTTAAATGTTTTAATGGATGTGCGGTGCGTCTGTTTAATTTCGTAAAATTCGGTTAACTGCTGCATCTGGTCTGCAAGCCTGCAAGCACCACAGTTGCAATACAAGCTGTCTCTTTGAAGGGTTTTTCTGGCGCCCCTCTGTTGCTGTTACTGTTGCTCGTGCTGGCGCAGCACTACTTGCGTCCCATGGTTTTTTCTCCTCAAGCGATCGCCGCATACCCTACATGCTTCAGCAGTGGCAGCAGCAACAGTAGGGCAACCCTGCTGGGTAGCGCTGAGAACTGCTGTATATACACCGTGGGGCAGCTCCAACCCAAAGTGGAGGTCCCGGCTCCGCAGTCAAAGAAGTTGTTGGACGAGAGGAAGCTGCAGTCAAAGGCGTGGGCACTGAGGTATATAAACACCACAACATTTTGGCTTCATTGTGTCACGGTCGCTCTTTTGCTTGCGTTTCTGCCTTCCCTCATTTGCTCACCTTTCTGAATGCTTGCTCTTGCATTTTCGCACGGTTGGTCTCTGCAAAAATTCCTATTTCGTTCCCATCTTGCTCTCAGCAATGTTTGCCAGTTTCATTGCTCGCTTTTTTCATTATCTTTTCTTCCTGCATACTTCGTCTGCCTCAGTTTTTTCTTATATGCTTCACCTATAATTCCTAACCCACCACTGGCCAAAAGATATCAAAGCAAATTAGATACACAGATTAGTTACTTTGTTCGCATGCTGCTCGAGGTGTCTTCGTGCAATTCGCGAGTTTTGTACTTTGGACACTTTGGGCACTGGCGTGCATTACAATGCGCAGAATAAGGCACAACGTAGTGCAACACTAACCCCTGCAGAACATGAAGGGTACTATAAATGTATATGCATGTGCAGTACAAGCCTAAGTGTGTATTGGTCTGTTCATTCAGGTATGTTAATGATACCGGGATTACGGAAATGAAGCGCGTGAAAGAATGCATCAAAGCCCGCTTCTGTCCCCCTGTGATAGAAAAGGAGGTGGCGCAGTTACTGAAGCAGCTCAGCCCTATTGCCCCTCACCGCCTGCCGATGCTTCCTGAGGCGTCCATTATATCTATCATATCACCAGAGACAGTCTGCTCATTAGAAACAGCCCATGCGGCTTGGTATAGACTCAGAGCAGTTGGGATTGTATCCCTCACCAGTCCCGAGGGGCTCAGCAGCGCATGTGCCTATGTCGAGGCAGAGGAGCGTCAGCAGCAGCAAGCAGCGTTGACCGCACGCAGGAGGCTCCGGCAGCTGCAACAACAGCAGCAGCAGCGTCGGGAGGCTCTCGGGATTCTCAGTGACGGTGCTGCTGCTGCTGCTGCTGCCGAGCAGAAGCAATTGCAGCAGCTGCTACTGCAGCTGAGCAACAGCTGCGCAGGCCGTCGATATTCTCCGTTAATTCGATTTATTGAGGAGCTTCTTTTGTCGGTCCCTTGGCAGACCACCAAAGAATGCAAAGAGGTGCTGCAGAACAAGGGCTCAGCTCAGTTCCTGCTAACGGGGTTTGGAGACCCCTCATGCGGGCGGGGTGAGGGAGTTGCGCTGCTGAAGCGTGGAAGCAGGAGTCGCAGCAGCAACAGCAGCAACCCACTTGCAGTGCAGCAGCAGCTTAGGAGGCATGCAGCGGGAGGCATTGCAGGTACAGTTGATGACTTGCGCAAGCTCGGCATGATGGAACTTAGAGCGAGGCTACTGCAGTACGGGCTAAGTGATGCGGTCATCAGGACCTTGCCCAGGTACTTCTACTGGAGCAGCCGTCGCTGCAGCAGAAGCAGCAGGAGGAGTAGCAGCAACAACAAGAGTAGCCAGAGTGAAGGTAGCAGCAGTGGCTACAACGGGTCCTTAGTGACAGCAGCAGGCGATGCATTACCAACATTCGCATCAAAATTATGGATTTCATTAGGGGAGATGACTGTTTTTCATACCTATCGTTTATTATTTGTTATTACGTAGGTGGGACCAAGTAGCCCTTGTGCGTCAGTACAGAGATGGATTTGGGGCTGAAGATGGGGGCAGCAAGGGTCGCGGCGCTGGTGTTCGACTACCTGCAGAAGAGTACGAAGCAAAGCTCAGCAGCATATTAAGAAAGCAGCAGGCGGCGTTAAGAGCGGATGAGCCCAATGTGACAGACACAGACGATGACATGCAGCCAGTCACACCCCAGCAGCAGCCGCAGCAGCAAGTGAATGCAGGCACAGTGGAAGCGGCAGCAGTGGGGACAGGAGCTGCAGCAGGGAGTGCAGCAGCAGCGGCAGCAGCCGGGCAGAAGCACGGCACAGCAGGGGAGGATGTTGCAGACGCTCTTTTTGCTGGCTGTGAGGAATCTGACCATGAGGTGCAAAGCCACACCCTACACCCTTTATCTGAAGCTGACTAAACGGGGGTGATAGTTTGGCAAGTGGGATTCACAGCTGTATGGCGGCAGCAACACAAGCACACGTCCAAACAGTCCGGCTTCTGTCTCTTTGTGAGGTAGGGTGTGTAAAGAATGCAGAGGGCCCTTGTGTCTAGGGTCCAGGGAGTGGGGTTAAAATGTCTTGCTTTGTTGCAGCAAGCAGATGAGACAGAACTTGAAATGAGAGAACTTCAGGTCCTGAGAGACCGCCAGGAGGCCCGCAGCCAGCGGCCAATGACAGAGGAGGAGCAACTGCGGGCTGAAGCAACAGTAAACCTTGAACTCTAAATGCCGACTTATGAACTCTTCCGCATCGGTTGCCGTTGTTGCGTTAGCTTCCGGTAGTCTCTCCTTCATCACTTTCTCAGTCACTACTTTGCACATTCCATTCAGTATACCAAAAGCCTCTGCGCTGCACCTCCAAACTGTGGTGATTTGGGCTTTGTTTTTGTTGCAGGTGCGGGCCGTCCCCTGCCTCCGATGGACTCGAAAGAGGAGGCAGCAAGTAGGGGACACCTTTGCTGCAGATAGGTGCATATTGATTTATGGTGCTGAAAATATTAAGGCCTTCTTAGCATGGAGAGACCAGAGACTGGCCAAAAAACGACAGGTAAGGTCGAGAAGTAGTCCTTCAGGGTGCCGTAGGTACTAGGCGCATAGGTAGAAGGCTAGTCGGGTAGAGGATAAACGCAAACGCTGAGCAGAAGATCCGCACTTCTCGCCACCGCTGCGTGGTAACTACAGAATCCTGCTTTGATGCTTAAACTTCATACTTCAAGATTTAAGTACGTGTCCCGCTCTCAGCGCCAAATGAGTGCCGTCCACTCAAAGGAGGCCCTTGCAGGCAAGCGAATCTGCAGAGCTTGTGGACGGCCAGGACACATCGCCTCAAACGTGGTACGTGATCATAGCTTGCGATGTAGGGTTTGGGTCTCGGGTTTTACAGCTCAGAAGAGAAGTCTGATACTCTACTCCTTCCAAGGTAGAGCTGTTGGATTGGGAGATAATGCCTGATTTAAAGAAATGATAGGGGGTCTAGGAAGTAGGACTGAAAGTTTGCAAAGGATGCGAGAGCTTCCGCGATAACTTAAACTTTGATCTGTAGTAGACTTTAGAACTTAGGTTTCAGGCCCGCTTTAAGTCCGGGAATTGTATTGAAGAGATCAAGAGACTGAGCCAGCTCCACACGCGTCAACGTGTCCTTGCAAGTAGGTACTGTGTGGTGGCAGGTGACCTCGCCTGCACGCATTTGATGAGGGTTTGTGTGTCGGGCTTTAGAATTTATGACCTGTGTCTTTCAGAATTGTCCGTTATACCGTGGCCCCAAACGTTTGGGATCAACGTTGGGCGAGATGGTTGGAAAGCGAAAGAAGAGGCGGACAGCAGACAGCGACATAGATTTGAGTGTTGCAGCAGAGCTGGGCATGGAAGGCTCGCTGTGCAGCAGCAGCACAAGGCGAGGACGCGGTGCTGCTGCTGCTGCCTCTGCTGTTGCTGGAGGTGCTGGCGCTTACAGTAGTGACAGCAGCGAAGGGGAAGGTGAGGAAGAAGAGGGCTTCGCTGCTTCTGGAGGAGCAGCAGCAGATGGGGATTCTTTTGACAGTGCAGATGGCGATGAACTTTACTCTGACAATGATTTGGAGCTGAACAGACATCCGAAGAGCGCGCTGTCAAGGTCTAGCCGGTCTCTCAGCGGTCGCAGGAGAGGCAACAGCAGGAGACAAGCAGCGGCAGAGAGAGCAGCTGCAGCAGCGGCGGCACAGCACCCTATTGATGCTCTCAATGTCTCATTTGCAAGGGTCGTGAATCTGTTGCTGCAGCAGCAAACGTTCAAGGTCTGCAGAGGTTAAGCCTCAAACTCTGGACAGAAGCACTGAATACCACGCCTTGCTGAACTCGCCTGGTGCTTTCGCTGTGCATTTGCTTTACTTGTTGCTGAGCCTTAAACTGTATTCGTTGTCCTGATGTAGCTCTCGTACCTGGCCCCGCCACAGTTCCACCTTTGCCGTCGTTAGCAGGGTCAAGGGATGTGGTTTTTTATACGTTGAGAGGGTTTGGGGTTTGGGTTTGTGTGCAGCCTTTTGTTAGTCGCGTGGACGACCGTGTGGCGCCTGGCTACTCCACAGTGGTAAAACGACCGATGTTCTTACGTCGGATCTTGAGTAAATGCAGAGAGCGTCAGTACCATTCCCTGTCATCATTTAAGGAGGACATAGACTTGATCGTTTCTAATTGCTTCCTCTTCAATCCGCCAGGCTCCCCTTCCGCATGGCTTAGAGACAGAGCCTTGCAACTGCAGCAGCTAGCTATGCAGCGCCTAGCGGACCAACCGGAAATTGCAGAGTACGAAGCAGCAATTGCGCAGAGCTCCTACCCTGTGCTGCAGCAGCAACAGCCGCAGTATCAGCAGTACCCATACCAGCGGCGACAGCAGTACCAGCAGCAGCAGTACCAGCAGCAGCAGCTTCAAGGGTTTGGAATGGACGAAGAATGAAGCGTGCTGACACCGCAGCGTCGTGCTGCTGCAGACGTTACCGCGGCAGCGTTACTTCACGGCTCCTATTTTCTCAAGATGGAGTAACTGTGCATTCGCATACTTGATACTAGCATAGCAACAGAAAGATTAGTAGTAGGGAGAGCGGCAGAAAATTGGAGGAATAGGGACAGACCCAAAGCGGGGACCAGGAAAGGTGCACGTAGGCATGGATAAGAAGGTAAACACACGAGGGGAAATAGGAATCGCAAATATAGCTTCATAGATACCAACTCACAGTTACTTTTGCCCGGCATTTTCGCGTCGTTCAGGAATATCCTTAAACACTATAAGTTCAGATCAGTTCAACAGGTTCGCCTTATATGCAGAGCAGTCGTACTGGAGCTGACTGAGAAGGGTTCGGTCATGACAGCGGCTCCAGATGGAGGGTCAGTCACTGCAAATCTGTAGTGGGACGACGATTTCAACAGCAAACGTATTCATTTATAGGGGGTATATGATATGGGGTCCGTTAGAGAATTGGAATTATTCCTATTTGAGTAATTTTGAGTGCGGGAAGCCTCCAAAGCCTTTGGTTACGTCCCGCGCTTTCACTGCGCTTGGGTGGCAATATGTGGTTCATTTGAATTACATTTAGTTGAACTAAGCTACTCAATAAACTTTTAACAAATATTAAATAGCCAGTTGGTCTCGCTGTTAGCTTTCTAGTATCATGCGAGCTTCTTCTTCAGTTGCTGCCACTGAAGCTAAAGGAAGACGAACTGTCGGCACAGCCTGCGGCTTTGCCAGCTTTCTGTCGCTTCTGTTTCCTGTGAATGTATTTAGGATCATAGGATCACATTTTTTATAATTAGCTGCTAAAGCAAAACGAAACAGTCCCCGTGAAGTCCCCGAACTCTCACACTCAACGGCGGCACACAGCATGTGTCAGTGAGTGTTTGATGTTGGTAGGCCAACTGCCTGTTCCCAGTACTTCGGTTAAATCTTCATTTGGGGCTTACATAGGCCTGACGAAATAGGCTCCCTTTAACTTTTTTGCCATGCTGTCTGCGTGGCGCTGCCGCGCTGTGGTTGGCTTGGTGTGGACTGTCGTGTTCGGTGTGTATATCATTCTGTGGTTATCTCTCTCCCCCTTCTACGGGGGGCTCCCGGCGTTTGCTTTCCTGTTCCCGAGGCCGCTCGTTGCCATTGTTGCAGCTTCTGGGGCTTTCGCCCTTTTCCTTGCAGCTGCACTTGCAACTGCTGGCGCCCTTATGACATCTTCGGGGCTGCGGCAGCAAGAGGAGCACACTTGTAAATGCCACCTATTTGTTGCAGAGAGGAAACATAAAAGGTAAACTCCGAAAACCGGGACGCTAGGCATTGTTGAGCGTATCACACTGCATACCCCTGCACAGCCAGACAAGGACAGGCAAGCAAGCATAGGAGCAGCGAAACAATAAGAAGACCCACGCTGTAATGGCTCCTCCCACAGGCCTAACTGACGGGGCTATTGCTGAGCAGACCCCCAGTAGCCCCACTTGCGGCCCGATTGCGGCTGAAATCGCCCCCGTGGATCCTGTCGGCGGGCCGTCATTAGGCCCTAAGCGGCGGTTGTCTCATGCGGGCTCTGTTTCGGACACTTCAGGGGCGTCCACGTCCTCTGCAGGCTCTCCTGTAGCAGCCTGTGCTGCGAAGAGCCCGAAGCCTGTCAAGTATAGATCCATATCATCCACAGATGTTCGTGAATCACGTCCTGCTACCACAGCAGGAGCAACAGCAAGATCGGGGGATGAGGAGGTGGTTGTGCTTGTGCGTCCGAAGTTGCGGGGCAAGATCCACTTGATGCTTCTGTTTCTGGCTCCTATTTGGACGCTGTTGCTGCTGAACGCTTGTAGGAGCCTACTTAGTTTCGTTGCTGCTGCTGTCAGTTGCCTTTCGTTCCTCGCGAATTTTGCCGCAAGCGCGCTGCTGCACAGCGGAAGCTTTGGTCCCCAGTGGAGCTCTCTTTTTGTTAAACTGGATCATGCAGGTAAGAATTCAACTACATTTACATTTAGGTCTGCTCGTTTTTATTCTTTACGTTTGCTGGGTTTTCTGGTCGATTAGTCTGCCCCCAGCTTGTCGCTAGGTCGATTGGAGACACTACTTTTCTAGCTTTTGCATGTAGTGATCATTTTTATCTTGCTCAGCATTTCGTTCAAAGTGGTTGTGCTGTGTTGTTTCCTGCTTAGTCTGTTGTGTTCCTTTCCCAGTTGTTCTCTTTGCTTTCTGTTTATGTTTAGCTTACTGTATTTTTCATATTATACATCGTGTGCCCGCGACAGTTTCCGGCTATGTCGTAGAATTTAGGACTTTGTGTTTGTTTCAGGTATCTTTGTGGTTATCAGCAGTTGCACAACTCCCATTCCTCTCTTGCTGCTGGACTTTTGGCCCTCTGTGCTGCTCCTGTCTGTACAGGGCCTTGCGACACTCTACGGTAAGTCTGTGCACAAGTACATTTCTGCACCATTTAGTCTTCGTTTTCTTTTCATTGTGGTCGCTGAGCGTTTTTTGTTTTTCAGAGTGGCTTGTGCTGCGCCCACATTCGTGGCGAGTTTCTTAACTAGGAGGACGGTTGATCGTTGCTTGTTCATTATTTCAGGCTTTTGGACCATCCTGTTCGGCAATTTGTCATCAGGAGCTCGCCAGCGCCGGGCCTTAACATATATATTGATAGGTTTATTGCATGCATGCTTCCTAAGGGTTTACATCTCAGTCTTAACCCTTAAGGAATTCAGCCTGGTTATATTTCTTGCTCTTTTTTATATTATAGGCGCTCTGGTGTATGGACACCAGTGGCCAGATCCCTTCCCATCTCTCTTCGGTTTCCATGAGCTCTTTCATCTGTTCTGCTGCATCAGTTTCGTGCTCACGCTGTGGCTTAATTACGAAGTCATCAGCAGAGCTGAAAGCAGTATGAAGAGCAGTATCAGTTGAGGGATGCGGACGCATGGATGCATGCAAAAGTGCATACATGCATGCTTATTTTAGTGCGTGTATATATGTATATATAAAAGTGATATATGCATGCGCTCACCGCTAGGGAGGCGTGGAGGTGGAGGGCTGTCGATCAAGACTTGCTTGCATGCATGCGGATAGCTGCGCTGATTGAGCCTTATGTTAATGTATTTTTATTGCTGAATTGGGTATATTTTTATTTTTGCATCACTCCAGAATTTGCCTACATAATCACTACAGACATTAGGATGAGCCGTCAAAAATTAACGCACCAGCGCAGTTTTACTAGTCTTTTCGTTATATTTTACTTTCATTGGCGGAAGTGAAAGGTCCTTCCTTGCCTGGAGGCTCCAGGTAACTAAACACCTGGCGTCCGCAAGTAAAGCGCTCACTTCATCATTCCTATTGTTCCGACGGTTTCGGTTATTGTTGCTTCTTGTATAGCTGCTTTTCATGTTACTTACGCTGCTGCCGTGGGTACTATGTAGCAGTGGCAGACAGTGGAACTGCACTAGGATTTTGGTGGGAGCGTTGCTTCCGCTAGTAGTGACGTCATTATTATTTGCTGATTCTCGAGGCATGCCTGTAGCGGGAATAAGGGGGCACAGGCATCGTTAGGCAACACTGTTTATTTGCCTGAACTAGTTTACATGCTTACAGTGGTTCGACGCACTGCACCCAGGCAGCAACAAGGGGACACAGCGTGAGGCCGCTACTTCGGTCTAGAGCTTAAGGCTTGCGACTTCGGGTTCATCGTTTCCATTCCCGTTGTGCTGGTATGATGTTGCATTTTTGTCTCTACGGCGGGGGAGACTAGTAGCTAGAGCTTAAGGCTTGCGACTTCGGGTTCATGGTTTCCATTCCCGTTGTGCTGGTATGATGTTGCATTTTTGTCTCTACGGCGGGGGAGACTAGTAGCAGAATACGAATCTTGCATCAATGTGTAATACTGTTCATCTGATCTGGTAAATTACGTCATAATTGCATGGTAATGATAGCAACTCAGTATCCATTTCTACATTAGGCGACTGGAGAGCGAGGGTCTGCTGCGAACAGACGTTGGAACGATGTTTATTTGGACGAGTAGACTCTTGCTCATACGCATGTTGTAAATTGTAGGCAGCTCCTCCGAAACCAGCAAGTGGCGTAATGGCCAAACACCGAAGGAGAAATGCAGGCTGTTAGGTGATGCTTTGGTTCACGACAGACTGCGGTAGCTCACAGGCTCCAAGCATACAACTGCTCCCTATGGTATATATACATATATACCTATACTATTCCTCCTTATGGCGACTAGGCGCGGTCTTCTGGTCTCCGTCCCCATCAATTCGCCACAGGCAACGGCAGGATGCGAACTTGAACGATTTGTGTCTGTTTTGAACACTGTTCAGCAGGCTGTCTGGTGGACGCGATGGTGAGCTGATACAAATTCAAGTAGGCTTTAGAGATTACTGCCGAAACCCAGGCATATATGCTTCTATGCAGTCATGTGGATAGGGGATATTCGTCGTCGGCACGACTGTGAACACAGTGAGCCTTTAACTGCGCGGGCGTTGAGTACCGCGTGCTTTGAGGTGTTCGCAGAAGGTTACATTTCTATAAGGAGAATGAGAACGTGAGCTTACATCCTGCATGCTTCCCAGTGGGCTGTTTTGCGCACGATCTTCTGGAATATAGCGTTCATATATGTATGACTGTACATCTTCTAGGTGATCCCCTCCTGGTGCCCCTCTGGTGACAGTTTGTTGAAATTCCCAAATCGTATGTTTGGTCGCTTGAAAGTTTTATACCCGAAGCTGTGCTTTTTTATATTCCTAGTTGACGTCCCGCACTCAAGCGTGCTATTTCTCATAGAGTTTTAGCAAACCTAGCAGGAGCAGGCGAAGTCAGAATTCACGAGAGCTTGAACGCAGCTGTATCTTGCTATTCACAGAAGCCTTGAGTTACCGCTGTGAGTATTCCACTTCTCTTTGATACTGTAGGTCAGCTTCCACCTTACACGAGCTCCGCACTCAACTCAGGTAACTATTGGTCTTTTTCCTCAGCCTCGTGACCTGCCGTCGTGCTGGCCGTTTACGGAAGTTTTTTGATTAAGCTGTATTCTTTTTCCGGGCACTCAAAGACAATAACAAGCAACCATCCGAACGCTTCATTTTTGCCAGACAATATGATGCAGTAGGGCTTCCTCCGGCTCACATTGTGGGAGGTTACAGAGGAGTTCAGTTCTCCGTATAGTTTGCAGCCAAGTTGAGTCGATAGGAATGGAATTCGTTAGCCAGGAATTGTACTGTTATTAGAGTAGCTATCTTTTCCTGTCGAATGCTGATTGGGAAGAATGCAAGGTGAAATTAGGTGTGGGCAAGTATCACACCAATCTAAATTCTAACTACAGTGCGTCCCAGTGAGACAGTACAACGCACAGTTTAAGTAAAAATGAGTCATTTGTTACTTTGAAGTGCGTTGCGTAGGTGCCCACGGCAGACAAAGGTTCACCAGAATTAGCTCCTACAATCAGAGTGATGCCCTTGATGACCTTCACGACACAGCGCCGCAGTCAAGCTGCATACTGTCATAGTTTCACCCACTTAGGGGCAGCATTTGCAACCCCTCATGTACAAAAGGAACGACGAGCTCGAGCCCGTGTAGAGCCCGTGAGAAACTAGTCCTCCTCTCCCCGCAAGAGGCTGCTCAAGAGTCTACTCGTGGTAAGAGGCTTCAGTCCAAGTTTTTAAAGAGCGCCTCTACTTCAGCTTATAGGGTGGTAGCTAAATTTCACACGTGGCATCTGGTATAGTAGGAGGTTATGCGTGCAGGCTAGGCGGCCTGTCAGCTTCAGCGCAACAAGGGCCCGCCCTAGTAAAAAAACGAACGGAAGTAACTGCCGACAGGAGATGACAAGCGTAAAATTGGGGAGCTCCAAAAGGCGCGGAACATCGCAAGACACTAGAAAGCGGTGCCGCCTGTTGGGAGGGTGCGATTGCTTTGTGTGCCGGGCTTCCACGTCGAGCGCTTGCTCCCTAGGACTCTACTCAACTTCGACATCGCCCCCGTAAGAACAATTCAGAAGAAAGATAATTACATTCAACATTAGCCGTATTAAATTGTTTAACCGTAACAGTTTCAAAACCCACTGTGTTGCCGATTGTGCAGTGCACTTCCGTGCGATCAACTGCGAGGCTCGCGGAAAAAGTTCTCTGTAATCGTATGTTAAAGCTTTTAATTTTAATTCACGTAAAATTGAGCTCTTTTTACTCAAAATTGGGCTGAATACGTGCACATTGCGCTGTCTGTAGCTAGTTCTGGCGGCCGACAGCTACGCTGGGAGTTAAGTTCGGCAGTTCACAGAACAAACGGGGGAAATTGTGGCTCAAAGCACGATTGTTTGGTTTCTCCCTCCATAATGTGATGCTTTTCCTGTGTTTTGATTGTCACAGCCTGTGGCTCTTTGAAAGCGTTGCGGTGAAGGTAAGACGCTCCAGTTCGATTCCGAACTCCAGCGCTGCATGGCTGTCTGACGTGCCCGCATGTTAATGCACAAGCGCCAGGAGTTCTGCAAATTGCAAATTGAAGACAAACTGAGACTAGTCCTCCTCAATTTGGGGAAACCATTTTGAATTTCTTCCACGGAGGCGCTGTTGGGAGTGATATGCTCAACCAGACTGCGCAGTCCGCACACCAGCTGCACCTGCCTGGGCCCGGCTTTGTTTCTTGACATTAGCCTGTATGAGGCAGTAAGATACATCCACAGTCGAACGGGAAAAAAATGTTGATGCAGCTCAACCGTCTGAAACAGGGCATCTGCCTGCCCCGAATTCTCCCGATACAACTGATCCTGCACGGATCAGTTGTAATTTGGAGAGAAGAGCTCATCAGAGCTCTTTTCCCCAAATTATAACGGCTTGTTTTCCTCATATGCGCTAAATATGCCTAAATTCGCCTTTCAAAAGCGGAATTCACGCTCCTTTGTGGTGCCTAGCACTGCAGCAACGCACTTCGTGGCGGACCTCGGCTATCTTGGTAGCACGTGGCTCTCTTCATGTATGTGCCTCGGCCGTATAAACGCAGCGTACTGAGACTCAAGCATTAATGAAATCTTATTTCCGTGCATGATTTGCAACTGGATCGTGTAGATGCGACAGCGACGCCTGAGTTGACGCCTTTTGGGCGTCCCGCGTGACCGCAGCTGAGAGCTCCCCAGTAGGCCTACATGAATAGCTGGTGGCGCGAATGAACTCATTACATCATACGCTTATTGATAATTTTTTGTAGCAGAATGTAACTGATATACCGCACAAAGCTGTGATATTTCCCAGTGGAAACACCAAGCCAACGTGTTTGATCCACTGAGCGGCGCAGTGTGTACGAGACATGCGATGGTCATCCTGCAACTAGTGGAATGCTCGATTTCCCCCAGGGACGCAAACAAACTAAGTATAAGCACTTGTTAAACAGAGCATTTGCAAGACAGAATCAAACGAAAGCTTGACCAGCTGGGTGTCGTAGTGAGGTGGGGCGAGCGCCCACTCGAAGCCCCGAGCCCACAAGACCATTCATCGTGATGTGCTCCTTACCAAGGGCAAGTAATTGGAGAAGATTCGACTGAGT